TTTCAAAGCGAAAGCTTTATTGTATAATTGCTTTTGTGGCTTCTTTATGTTTTAAATTGATTGTTAGATATGTTTAATTGTTCGCATGTATCATCAACAATATTAATTTTTTGACCTGAACTCAGTCGAGAGCACCCGCTGAACTTAAGCATATCAGTAAGCGGAGGAAAAGAAACTAAACAGGATTCCCCCAGTAACGGCGAGTGAATAGGGAAATGTCCATCGCTAAATCATTTTGCCTAAGGCATTATGAGGTGTAGCGTATAAGCCGTAATTTTTAATCTTTTGTCTCAAATAAGTCCCCTTGACAGGGGTTCCACAGAAGGTGCAAGTCCTGTACATTGAGATAATTGATCGATATTTACGTGCTTTAGAGTCGGGTTGTTTGGGATCGCAGCCCAAAGTCGGTGGTAAACTTCATCTAAGACTCAATATTGCCACGAGACCGATAGCAAACAAGTACTGTGAAGGAAAGTTGCAAAGCACTTTGAAGAGAGAGTTAAAGAGGACGTGAAACCGGAGAGGTGGAAACGGATAGAGTCGGCGTATCTTTCAAGTATTCATTTACATTATTTTTATGTTGTGATCTCTGAGCTCCAGATTGGGACAGAAAGAAGCATCATAATTTTCTGTGATGCATTTGCTTGTTTGGTGCTTGGGGATGTTTGAGGCAGATTTGTAACCGCCGTTTTGAGGCCAGCTTGCTGGTACCCAAACAGCGTTAGCATCTTTTGTCTTGGACATTTGAGTATGGCTTACGGGCATTTATTGGTTCGATCTGATTGTAAGTTACGGTCGCATGCGACACGTGCTTTTCATTTAGATCGGTCCAGTTAATGCTCTCGTACTCGCTCCCCATGTAAAAGCCGGTCATCTATCCGACCCGTCTTGAAACACGGACCAAGGAGTTTATCGTGTGCGCAAGTTTTTGGGCACACGAGGCAATCAAATTTCACCAGGCATTTTTGGTTTATGAGTCTGTGACGATCCGATTAAAAATTGCCTCAGGCAAAGTAGACCAAAGTGCAATTGAAAGTAGACCAAAGTGCATTAAAAAAAGATTACGACACCCCCGATTCCCAGGACGTCTCCGTTCCAAGTACTAAGGAAGCCCAGCGTTGCTTAACTTGCCAGATCGGACGGGATGGCGTGCTTTCAACGCGGTAAATTGCCTCAGGCAAAGTAGACCAAAGTGCAATTGACCAAGTGTCGTAGGGTTCAGGCAATAGGGTTCCCCCAGGCAATCAAATTTCACCAGGCATTTTTGGTTTATGAGTCTGTGATTATGAGGTGTAGCGTATAAGCCGTAATTTTTAATCTTTTGTCTCAAATAAGTCCCCTTGACAGGGGTTCCACAGAAGGTGCAAGTCCTGTACATTGAGATAATTGATCGATATTTACGTGCTTTAGAGTCGGGTTGTTTGGGATCGCAGCCCAAAGTCGGTGGTAAACTTCATCTAAGACTCAATATTGCCACGAGACCGATAGCAAACAAGTACTGTGAAGGAAAGTTGCAAAGCACTTTGAAGAGAGAGTTAAAGAGGACGTGAAACCGGAGAGGTGGAAACGGATAGAGTCGGCGTATCTTTCAAGTATTCATTTACATTATTTTTATGTTGTGATCTCTGAGCTCCAGATTGGGACAGAAAGAAGCATCATAATTTTCTGTGATGCATTTGCTTGTTTGGTGCTTGGGGATGTTTGAGGCAGATTTGTAACCGCCGTTTTGAGGCCAGCTTGCTGGTACCCAAACAGCGTTAGCATCTTTTGTCTTGGACATTTGAGTATGGCTTACGGGCATTTATTGGTTCGATCTGATTGTAAGTTACGGTCGCATGCGACACGTGCTTTTCATTTAGATCGGTCCAGTTAATGCTCTCGTACTCGCTCCCCATGTAAAAGCCGGTCATCTATCCGACCCGTCTTGAAACACGGACCAAGGAGTTTATCGTGTGCGCAAGTTTTTGGGTGTTAAAAACCTAAAAGCGAAATGAAAGTAAATGGCTCTTTAGAGTCTGATGTGAGATCTTGTAAAAAAGGGCAGCATGGCCCCATTCTAACTGTTTACAGTAGGGTGGAGGAAGAGCGTACGCGGTGAGACCCGAAAGATGGTGAACTATTCCTGAGCAGGACGAAGCCAGAGGAAACTCTGGTGGAAGTCCGAAGCGGTTCTGACGTGCAAATCGATCGTCTGACTTGGGTATAGGGGCGAAAGACTAATCGAACCATCTAGTAGCTGGTTCCCTCTGAAGTTTCCCCCAGGATAGCTGGAGCTCATTAGTAGTTATACTCGGTAAAGCGAATGATTAGAGGACTTGGGAACGAAATGTTCTTAACCTATTCTCAAACTCTAAATGGGTATGATGTCAAAGTTGCTTGATTTTGAACTTTGGCGTTGAATACGAGTTCCAAGTGGGCCATTTTTGGTAAGCAGAACTGGCGATGTGGGATGAACCAAACGCGGAGTTGAGGTGCCAAAGTGCCCGCTCATTAGACACCATAAAAGGTGTTGGTTGATACAGACAGCAGGACGGTGGCCATGGAAGTCGGAATCCGCTAAGGAGTGTGTAACAACTCACCTGCCGAATCAACTAGCCCTGAAAATGGATGGCGCTGGAGCGGGCCACCTATACTCTGCCGTCATATGCTTGTATTTTCCGTGAAAAGTCTTGCAATGACGTGTAAGAGGGTCGTAGTGGTTGCAATGAAGGCTTTGGGTGTGCACCCAGCTGGAGCTTCCACTAGTGC